TCTCGAAAAACGACTTGCATTCGGCACGACTCTCGCAATGAGGCTGATTATCTGCCTCATTGCGTAAGTCGTAAATAAGGCTGAATTGTTCGACTCGACATTAGCATTGTCTACTGTCGTGCTGAAATAAGTAAACGACGAAAAACGTCGAAAACTATGCAGTGCTGCCAAGTTTTTCCGTTTAAATACACTAGTCGAGTGGAGATTTTAAGCAATGACGTTAAATTTTCGATACGATTCGACTTGCGAAAAACGACTTGGACTCTTGCAATGAGGCTATATATTTGAAAAAAAGGTAGTTTTGCTGCCTTTTCTCCCATGAGGTGATTTCTTAGAGGCTCGGATATAAAGCCGGCTGCACCGAACAATCGCTTACTTGGAACGCTGGCGGGTGGAGCGCTCAAATATTTCCGGGCCACATCTGTTAATTTGTCGTATTTTAAACAGTGTTCACACTATAGCATAAAATACTTTGTTTCGATCAAATTACTTCACATAAACTAAGGACGTTCACGTTTCTTTCATAATTTCTATACGAGTGTGTGGTTTGGGACCTGTTCGAGGCACTTAATGAAAGCGGCAATACTGCAGCACTGATGAAAATTTGCAAACTGTTGCAACTTGCGAACTGATAAAAAGCTGCTAGAAATTCACACCGAACGTGATACTTTAATAATGCATGCAACACTGCGGTTGTGATTGCATCTCGAACAAGCCCTTGTACTTGATTTCAAAAAACAAATGGATGCATACCTCAACAGTGGGGGCTAAAATGAATGAATAAATCTTTTTTTTTCTTCATTTGGTTCTCGATTTATGATAAATTATTTCATTTCAATTTAATTACTTGGTTTCAGCATAATTTGCTTATAAATTGCGATAACGTAAACAAGCCTTTAGTTTAGTTTTCCATCAATCGAGAGGATTTTCACCGAGATGAGCTTGTTTTTCTTAAAGATATGCCTTCGATTGAGCTTTAATTTCACATTTTTTAATGTCACCAGTAATGTTTCTGTAACAGTTCTCTACCAAGTTGAATTGAGATATGAATTCGCCGCCCTGTTCTCTACTGCTAATTAGTAGGCGAGAGTGACGTATTCTCTCTACCAGTAGAGAAATAATCGGTAGAGAAAAGTTACAGAAACGGGCTACAGATTCTACATCCGAGCCTTTGCTTTCGCTGGAGGAATCTAAAGTTATTTCTAGGGTGCTTATAAGACTTTTAGCAGTACTTGTTGAAGGCCCATCAATGTTGCTTGATATACTACTTAACCGTTCAGCGCCCGAGCTAAATGCCGGTTATTGTCCGCACCCTGGTTAGACAGACTTAGAGCGATTTCAGCAATATACACATTCGCATTCGAAAAACATTCGTACCATTTGATGCGAATGCGTAAAATGATGCGAATCATTCGCATAACGAATGCGAATGCAAATATTCGCAATATCCCGGATATGTATGTATGTACATAAATATATATATATTTTTGTTTTCAAAAATTATCCATTTCAAATCATTCTCTAAATTTTTGTGCATCATCAAATATTTCCTAAGCTCTGAAGAACATTTCCCCACATTGTTTATTTCCTCCATGGATCCGATTCAAATTAATGTCTGTTCTCAAAATTAAAATCATGAAGTATATGAAAGTTACTTTTCATTCCCATTCAAGGTCTCTGTAAAATGTAAATAGGTGTATTTGAAAACAGCCACACTTCCTAGCAGCACACACACAAACACACAGCACACGCAGGTCCGCTTGATAACAACAGGCATGTATGTATATTTCACATCCGAACACATCAGGAGAGAGGTTCCAGAAATTGTGTATTAATGAAAACACTATATTCACGGCATTATTCAAAAAGTAAAACATTGATAAGAAATTAAAAGAAAGTAAAAGTGGAGCTTGCAGATTGGAGAAGAAGTAAAGTATGTGTGCAGTGTTAAGTTTTAGTTTAAAATATCAGAAAGTTAAGCTAAAAGTTTATAATATTGAAATACTCAATTTTCGTGATAGCAAAAGACAAAAGACAGAATTCTTTTAATTTTGTCATTAAATAAAATGATTTTTTGTGTATACAGTTTCTTTAATTTTTATTTTTATTATTACTATCAAGGCGAATTTATAAATTATATATGAATTCGCCTTGATTATTATGGTACCCAGTAAATCCATTCAAAGTTGTATGGTTTCCTAGCGATTTCGACTAGTTTTGTTTTCCGGATTATCTTATTACGTAATGTATACTTCGTAAATTATTTTGTACATTTATAACACATTGGAAAACGCTATTTTAAACGTAGCTTAAGCTTAAAATTACTACGTTCCGAAAGTTACAAATTACAAGCATTGCCTTGTGTACACTAATTATTTTAAAATTCATATTCTATGTTGAGAATTTCTAAATTACATGGTGAAATTTTAACAATAAGAAACTAATGTTAACATATATGTATGTACACGCATTGCGCTGATG